TCTATTTCAAATCTGTATTTTTTAAAATTTATAGAATGTTACCACATAACTTGTTTGGAAAAAAATGACTTAGAAATTAATGCCAATATCTTCTAAAATGATAAACAAGTAATGAAGGCCCATTTCCAGTAACTATTGGCATGATGAGGTCATATTTTGTGCTATCTTTAATGATATAAAATTCATAGAGTAATTTAGTTTTTCCTTATTTAATATTTTTCAAAATCAAACTTTTGTTAGTTTTCCCATTTTACTAGAATCATATTCTAATTCTCTATCTTATTAAATCAGTGAGCAGCTCCTGGCTTTAATTACTCTAACTTCAAGGCCATATTTTAAAAAATCAAAAGACACTGTGAACTGTTTTGGAAAACAAAAAACAATTCAATATAGATTTACAAGGATGTCTTCTGAAGCTAGAAACAATCTGTAGCTACACACTGACTTCACACTGTTACCTTTTAGACTATCCAAATAATCGTCTTTTACATTTTCCTGTGTAAACCTAATTCTAGTACAAATTTCTACCAACTCTCTACTCAAGTAAAATTTCTATATATTCCCTGTGGAAATGTAAGTATGCGAGTTTCCAAAATTCTCAAAAAAGAAAATGTTCAGAGGTTGCCACTTTTGCTTCTTTTGGACACCTTGGAAACTCCATTAACAACTGTGAATATGAAAATACAAAAGAAAACAATCACAAAGCCCTTTATACATAAACATCCAGCACAGCTCATTCTTAAATAACAGCCAAACCTCAGACTACTGTATTTCCATATCTGTACTGAAAGCATGTGCATTGTGGCGATGAAATGCTGCACATCTTTCAGTCACTGTATAGTAATCATTGACGAAAGGGATTTGTCTGTTTTCTTCTCGTGGTTGTATATATCAGGTAAATTTTTTTCCAAAGAGCCATGTGTCATATATAATATTGAACCACTTTGATACTGAGATATTAATTTGTACCCTTGTTACTATTTACTAGTAATAATAAAGTACTATAGTAATATAGCTCTAATTCTCTTCAAAGTTGTTGCATCCCTTTTATAGAATGTTTCTATTTCCATAAGGATTAAGTATTCTTTCTTCTTATACCCTAGGATGAAGCTATGTTTTTGTGCTTTTTCTTTATCATTGGCTCTTCATTCCAAGCACTTTATGCTGTCTCTAATGGGATCTATTTTTGCACTGGAATATCTGAGAATTGCAAAACTAGACAAAAGTTTCACAATAGATTTCTAAGTTAAATAATTTTCATTAAAAGGAAAAAAAGAAAAAAAAATTTTGTATGTCAATAACTTTATATGAAGTATTAAAAAAAGGCATATTTCTATGTTGTAATGAGTCACGAAATAAAGCTGTGACAGTTCTGCTGGTCTATGCAAATTTATTTCCATGCATTCGCAGCACCACCTACTGTTAAAGCTCATAACTCCGTTAGAAAAGTAAGAAATTTCAGTCCACTTCTAGTGGGGAAGCTCTTTGACTTGAGTAGAAATTTTAGAAAAGGCTAAATGTCCTGTTTCTCACAAAAGAGAACTGAAGGGATTACTTGGAGACAAAGGGTGTTTACACTTTCATAATCAGTTAAGATAGTAAATAACAAGTTTAAGAGGTTGTTAGGTAAAATGTATTCGGCTTGATTTTGAAGCTATAGAGATCTCTGAAAATACTCTATAGCTAAGCCTGTTTAATAAAAACTTCACTGCTTTATTTGGTATTGAAACTACAAAGGCCGCCTTCAGATGTCTTTTGTTTGTTCAACTGAAAACACGGACAGAGTGTGGCAAGGGTATTGGCAGGGTGTGCTGGGCATGGTGGCCTGGGTGAGCTGGTAAAGTGGAAGAAGTAGAGAATTATCGGAGGTGCCTTCCCTTCCTCCTGTAAAAAGTGCTGGGCAATCAAAAGCCAGGGCTATGTGGGGCTGTGATGAGACTTGTGGATGTAATTTTTATAGCTCACTAGCAAAGTCTCAGGGAAGCTGTCTATCTCGGTACCTGAAGAACCTCCATCAAACACCCCCTCATAGGCAGCACATTAGAGTCACAGCTCTATGTGGGGCCTCCTCTAATGGCCAAGAGGACAGGTACTGAGTGAGTGGTCCTTTGGTAAGGCGTGCATGCCACTGCATGCGGAGGAAGGATCTCGGTTTGTGAGTGAGCCTTCTTGACCACTTGGAATCAGTGTCACAGCTGTGTCTTTCTCTCTTAAAGTTCACATTACAGCGACTTCAATGAAATGAAAGAAAACTGTGTTTCTTGGTGAAAAATGACAATCGAGAGAAGAAAGCTCCTGAAAGATGAAAAGGCAAGTAATTTAGATAACCGTGTAAGTCACCCATGAGTCTGGAGGAAAACCTTCTGTCTAGAGAAGAGCCTATATAAACATTGGTAGGTTCAAAAAACTCTTGAACCTTTGAAATGTTAATGCATGCATTAAGTACGAAAAACTAGAAGGGAAAAAAGCTACATTTTTTTAAAGTGTTTTACTGTGTTGTCAGGCACTTCATTTAATCCCCAATTAACTACCTGCTTTATGAGGTAAGCAGTACCATTTGATGTATGAGTAAATTGTGGCTCAGTGGATAAAGAAAGAATTTGTTTAAAGTTCAGCGGCTACTGGAGTGGCAGAGGGTTCTTTCTGAAGTTGAGTATCAGATACAATTGCCCTCATAAAATCTGCCTGGCATCATCATACAGTAATTTCACCAATATTTATTGAACTCTGTTGTGCGCCATATTTTCTAGGCTCTGGGATGCAGTGTTCAAGACTGAATTCCTGCTTTACTGAAGTTAAATTTCAGTGGAGAAGTCTTACCTGCATTCACAATGGATGTGTAGACAAATACATATAATACACTCAGACCACAGTAAATGCTAAGAAGAAAATGAGCTATGGTAATAAGTTAGTGATGGAGATGAGTCAGAAATGGTGCCTGAAGAGTGACATTTGAGCTCAGATCTGATCAAATAAGCAGGAGTCAACATTTGAAGGGGGTCAGAGAGAATGTTCCTGGAAGAAAGAATACCTGGTGCAAAAGCTCCAAGTGGGAAAAAGCTTGGCAGGTTGGGGAAGGAGGGAGAGGATCCCAATGTCTCAAGTGGTGGAAGGGGCAGAAACCAGAACCTATAGGGCCTCGCAGGCCATGTTAAGGTATCTGTATTTTACTGTTAGTGGCAATGAGGAACCACTGGAGAGTTTTAAACAAGGTAATGGTTTGATGTAATCACTTTCAGAAAGAATGCTGGCTGTGTGGGGAGAAGGGACAGTAAGGAGGCTAACAGATGTTGGTGGATTGAGCAAGGGTATAGCAGTAGACAAAGGGAGGAAGAGTATTGTTCAGGATCTATTTTAAAGACAAAGCCCACAGGAATTGCCGACAAGCACCATGTAGAGGTTGAGGGCAAGAGAGCTATCAAGGTGACTTCTAGTTTGTGGCCCAAACTAGGTAGATGGTTGTGCTAAAAGGGCCATTCATACAGCAGTCTGGTGCTCAGGAACAATGATGGGAAGGAAGATAAAAATGTGTAAGTCATCCCCACATGTATGGTATTTAAGCCTTTCGACTAAATGAGCTGATCTAGAGAGAACGAAGATAAGAGAACATTCCTGAGATCCTACCCACATCTGAAGAGACGCCAGCAAAGGAAAGAGAGGGTCTGGCCGGTGAGGAGGATTATCTGAGTATGACGCCATATACTGAAGCTCAGAATCAAGTGTTTCAGAAAGGCAAACGTGGTCAGTTGTGTCCAACACTGCTGAGAAGATTAGCAAGGTAAAGGCAGAGAAAATGACTGACTTTGGTAAGAGAGAGGTCCCTGGTGCCCTTGAGAAGAGTCCTTTCAGGAGACAAGGATCAGGTTGAGGGAAGAGTAAGAGGTAAAGACGGGGAATATACGTCAGTCTACTGAGAGCTCTGCTTTACTGTGAAGCAGGAAACATGCCACTAGCTGGATCACAAAGCTTTTATCTGGATTCTTGTCTGTCAATAGTGCAGGTTGCACCTGAACACCATCTCACTTTTCAATTTTTTTGTTATCTTTAACCCTTTAAACATTTCTTCTCTCCACAGTCTTCTGCTGTACTTTATTTTCCAAGTTTCCCTTAAGACAGCTAATTCATGATTTACTATTTTATACTTTTAGAAACACAAAATAAGATAGCTCTAAATATAGACTCGAGAGAGAGAGCTTGTAATTACTAAACCTAGTTTTAGAAGGCAGGTGCACTCAACTAAAATGGATATTAAAGGTGTTTCAAGAAAAACCCTAGGATCTGTGGTGGTCCTGAAAACTTTCTGGGATTATTATTATGTTATCTTCTTGATGTAACTTAACATCTACAGTAAAGCTGTGAAATTGTTACTGTGACACTACCCTATAGCAACACAGTGTAAGTTCTAGAGAAGACAGTATAAATATGAAACACAAAAAAAATTTGCAGAATGGGTATGTAGGCTTTTATTCAGGCAACCATTCTCATAACCATAGATATTTTTAAAACAAATAGGTGTCCCAAGTATCTTTGTTAGTAATCCAAAATGAACAAAAAATTAACTGTTAAATGAACACATTTCAGTATATAAAACAAGTCTTCCAAAGTCTTTAACAGAGACCTAATTACAGTATTTTCCAAGTTAGAGTGACTCATAATTAATGTGAAAACCATAATTAATACAGATGATACAGGTGATACTGTACTTTGCCAAGGTAAAGAAATATATTTGATCTAAGATTCTTTTTTTTTTTAAAGACATCTATTTATTTATTCGACAAAGAGAGAGAGAGAGATCACAAGTAGGCAGAGAGGCAGGCAGAGAGAGAGAGGAGGAAGCAGGCTCCCCGCCAAGCAGAGAGCCCAATGCGGGGCTCGTTGACCTTAGATTCTAAAGACTCCCATTTGATCACAAAATAAACCTACTGAGCAAAAAAAAAGAAAAAAACTCAGAAAAAATTGACATGAATAGACATTATATATAAATTTTAAAATATCAGGTACAAAATGTAAAATCATTTGAATATAAAATATAAAAGCAAAGGGTTGTCAAAACAGAATATAAGAGATATTCTGAAACCAGTGAAAAATCAAGATCATCAAGTAGTAGCAACTGTTTCTAATGTGTAACAGACACTGAAATGCCAAGGGGAAAATGAACAGAACTACTTGCTGGGGTGGAGAGGAACAGGAAGGAAGCACAGAGCTGGCTTTAGAAGTGCAGAGACACAAAAGATTAACTTACCACCTTCTTCAAATACAAGTGAGAATTTCTTAGGAGAATTTAAGCACCATTAGCAGACACATCTTAGAGCAGTTAATGCGACGCTTCGTATTTCAATGGAAAACTATTTCAAAGGTGAAAATGATGTAGGAATCAGAAGCATATTCTGCTGAGACACGAGGTAATTGACACTCTCCCGAACTGGAAAAACACATTTCATAAGAAGGCATATAAAGTTATTGACCGAATCAAATTTGTTGTACGAATACTTCATGCCTCGTGAAATAGCTTACCAGCTGCCACAACCCTGGGATCCTCATGAGACTGATGTCGCCCGGCTGCACGACTGTCTGCACTCTCGTTCCACCAAAGAACGTGAACTGCAGAAATAAACCAAAAAGGGCTTCTAAAGACTATGGCGTTACTACAAGAAATACAGAAAAACTAATCAGAAACATTAAGTCTTGTTTTTTAAATCAAAATAGTGAATATCAAAAAGGTAAAATTAAGTATGTTAGTAATAAGATTTCAGAGGGGGTCAGAGATTTGTGAGACAAATTTATAAATTAATTAATAAAACTAGTTTTACAGATGAAGAAAAGAAAAGCTGGAAAAAAAAGTAAGTAACATCACGAAAGACACAATCAAGGCTAGACCCAAGTTTTATGACTTCCTACCATGTTTTACTTTATTTAAAAAAAAGATTATAAAAAATGTTTATTACTGAAAATTTGGAAAATACAAAGAAGAAAATTAAAAGTAACATGATTTTAACAACCCAGAGAAAACCTCTACTGATATTTAGTGTATTTCTTTTAAAAACATGAGTAAAATCAGATTAGGGTCGTACTGTATATTATGCTTAGTATTTTTAAAAATCAATACTGCTTATTGTTTTCCATGGCAGTAACTTTAATTTTTAATGACTATGTGAATTCCTTTTTATGTCACTATGTGACAACTTTTTAAATCCCAACCCTTTATTGTTGATTATTTATATTATTCAAAATATTTCAGGATCCTATAAAATAATGGATTTTTTAAATAATTAAACATAATATACGTTAGTCATGTAGATTTTGGAAAATGCAGATAAACAGAAAGCAGGAATCATTTCTATTCTACCATCCGAAAATAACCACTTTCCTATTTTGGTGCATCTCTTTCTATATTTATGTACATATGTATTTTTATATGTTTACATGTTTATATACATAAAGTGTGTACACTATATAAGGTATAGGACCTATATGATGTGTGTTTGTGTGTTATAAGTATATTACATACATACAAACATGGGGTCATACCACATTGTTTCCAACATTTCCTTATTGTAAACAATGCTGACATAAACTTCCTTAGAGTAGGAGCTATATGTGTAGCTGTAATAATAATAATGTCAAAGACAACTACTACTGACATTTTTGGGGTGCTTACTTTGTGCCAGGCTTGGTTCTAAAAGTTTTGCATGTATTAACTCATTTAATTTTCACAATAATCTTAGGGTATTATTATCCATATTTTACCGATTAGCAATTTAAGGCACATAAGGTGAAGAAACTCATGTGACGTCACAAAGAGGGCAGGTAGGTGGTGGAGCTGGGATTTAAAGCCAGGCAGTTTGGTTCTGATTATTTCCTCAATATGAACTCTAAAATTTGAACTGAGAGAACCAAAGAATATTTTGTATATATTTCTACATGTACAGCATACATATTATATACTGTCCTCCAGAAATTATGTCCTGATTTATACTCAGCCTATTATTATCTCCTATGCTGAGAGGTAATTTAAGATTAAAAAGTGTGCACACGTTTTCAGTAGTTTTTTTCTTATAAAAGTTATAGATGTCCATTATAAAAAATAGACTTAATAAACATTAACCTTATCATGAATATCATTTACATCCTTTCAAACTTCTTTCCTATATAACCTAACACACTACACACCTATGCATATTTCCTAGAATATTGGCAAAAATAATTTAAAAATTAAAGCTTTTTATTTATATTGCCAAATCTTGGGGAAGTTAAAGATTAACACAGTATGACTCTATACAGTATCTAAGTACTTATTTTTCCAACCTATGAAATACTATATATAAATATGTCTTTATTAGGTAAAAATGATATCTCATTATTATCTTAATCTGTATCTTCTATAATATATACATTTAGTAGTCATGTGCATATCTAACTTTGCATAAGTCTTCATTTTTCTTTTTGCTTTTGAATTTCATTTATGGTGTTTTGGGCATGCAGAAAGAGTGCGCTTTTTAAAATAGAGTCAGGGGCACCTGGGTGGCTCAGTGGGTTGGAGCCTCTGCCTTCGGCTTGGATCATGATCCTGGGGTCCTGGGATCGAGCCCCGCATTGGGCTCTCTGCTCTGCAGGGAGCCTGCTTCCTCCTCTCTCTCTCTGCCTGTCTGTCTGCCTACTTGTGATCTCTGTCTATCAAATAAATAAATAAAATCTTTAAAAAAATTTTTTAAAAATAAAATCATCAATTGATTTTTTTCCTTTATTGTTCCTTCATTTGTTTTTTGGCTTAGAAATACAGTTCTCATCCATATTATTAAACACATTTTAGGGGCCCCTGGATGGCTCGGTGGGTTAAAGCCTCTGCCTTCGGCTCGGGTCATGGTCCCGGGGTCCTGGGATTGAGCCCCGCATCGGCCTCTCTGCTCGGCGGGAAGCCTGCTTCCCTTCCTCTTTCTCTCTGCTTGCCTCTATGCCTACTTGTGATCTCTGTCTGTCAAATAAATAAATAAAATCTTTAAAAAAAAACCCACACATTTTATATGTTATTTTATACATTTATATTTTATTTTAGTAATTCTGTAACTACGTTTTGTCTACACTTAAATCTATATAATCCATTTGGATTCCAGTTTTGTATATGGTGTGAGATAGACATCTAATGATTTTCATAGTTTTTCTCCTCTTGATATAGTTTCCAACTTAAAAATAACCTTTTCTGTATATTCTGATTATTTTCTTAGGATATACTACTAGAAGTTACATTTCTGGGTTAAGATCAGAAGCTCAGCTTTGAGTGTGTTAGGTCTGAGATGTCCATTAGACATTAAATAGGAAGTTAAGGAGGCAAATCAATACGATGAGTCTTTCAAATATTTTATTAGCTATTCTTAGTCATTTATCCTTCCAGATGAACTTTACATACATTTTTAAGGGTTTGCCATAAAAAACTCTCTGAAATTCTGACTGCAGTAACTTTCTACTTTAAAAGTTAAATGCCCCAGATATATGTCTTAAAAATAAATTCATGGGGCACCTGCCTAGCTCAGTCAGTGGAGCAAGTGACTTGAACTCACGGTTGTGAGTTTGAGCCCCACATTGGGCACAGAGATTACGTAAATAAATAAACTTTAAAAGTAAATAAATAAATTCAGGTATGTATATTTACCCATAAGCTGTGTATAGCCACACTGAAGTGTTAAGAGGTCATTATAAATCATGGACATGCATTATTTCTAGCATGTGAATATATCAACTAACATTTTGGTTTTCTTACTCCTATGTCATATATATACATATATATATGTATACACACATATTTATATGTATTTATAAAAATACATACACACATATATGTAGATGACATATAAAGACCACAATGTTAACAGTATTATCTCTAAGGAGGGGGAAATATTTTCTCCCCTTAAGGCATGTCCATCTATTTAGTATGTGCAAAAATATGTACTACTTTTTCATTCAAGATGATCTCTTTACCCCAAGTAATATTATTTTAAAAAGTCAATAAAAATATACTTAGAGGAAAAAAAGGATGAAAGAACAGGTATTTTCTTGAGGCTCTTTGCAGTTTTTTTAATCACTTTGATGAGTCATGGAAGGCATGATATTTCATTTGAAAAAGGCTTTATGAGGTGTTAACATCCCAAACAAATAAGATATAAATCAGGTTTTTTTTCAACCCTTCAAATTATTAAAAACCCTAAAAATTTGGCAATAAAAATGTAAACATATACCATAATGGAAAAAAGAGACAAACTGACCCAAGAAACTTAATAGATCACCAACATACTTTGTAGTTTCATAGAAGAAATAGACAACTATACCTCTGTTGAGTTCTCCATATTCTGTGTGGAAAACGCCAATTAGTTTTGAGTAGCCTAGATCCACATGGGCATTAATTGCCCTTTTAAATGCGTCGCCCCATAGAGCTGGCCCGCCGGGCTTCATCTGAAAACTAACCAGTTCGTAGACTCCTAGAGTAGGGAGAAAAATAATTTTACAAAAGATGTTCAAGAAATTTCTAATCAGGTTAGTCCAATTCCACTGGAAGGCTAATCTACATACACCGATTTGGAAGATCATACATATGTACATGGTATGTAGATATATTTATGGATTATGTCATTAGTTTTCCTTGCTTTTATGTTTTGAAAGTCCTTGTCCAAGTTTAAGGATCAGTTGTTAAGCTTATACAGAATAACAAAAAAGGGAAGGTCTATTAAGCTATTATCTGAGATTTTTTTTTTAAAGATCTTATTTATTCATGAGAGAGAGAGACAGAGGGAGAGCACCAGCAGGTGGAGAGGCAGAGGGAAGAGGAGAAGCAGACTCCCCAGTGAGCAGGGAGCCTGCTGTGGGTCTTGATCCCCAGACCTGGAGATCATGACCTTAGCCGAAGGCAGATGCTTAGCCATCTGAGCCACCCAGGTACCCCTGAAATATTTTTTTTTTTAAAGATTTTATTTTATTTTTTGACAGACATAGATTACAAGTAGGCAGAGAGATAGGCAGAAAGAGAGGAAGGGAAGCAGACTGCCTGCCGAGCAGAGAGCCCGACTCAGTGCTCGATCCCAGAACCCTGGGCTCATGACCTGAGCCGAAGGCAGAGGCTTTAACCCACTGAGCCACCCAGGTGCCCATGAAATATTTTTAATCTATAAACTCTGTTAATAAAACAAATATTGAACATTTATAGAAGGGCTAGGATTTCTGAGCTCCCTGAATCTGCACTTTTGGATAAGAAATGAATAAGAGGGGTGCCTGAGGGGCTCAGTGGGTTAAGCCCCTGCCTTCGGCTTGGGTCATGATCCCGGGTCCTGGGTTCAGGCCCCACATCGGGCTTTCTGCTCGGCGGGGAGCCTGCTTTCTCCTCTCTCTCTGCCTGCCTCTCTGCCTACTTGTGATTTCTCTCTGTCAAATAAATAAATAAAATCTAAAAAAAAAAAAAAAGAAATGAATAAGAAAAGCATTTTCTAATCTCTTGTATTTCCTCTTCTTTCCAATTTTGAGGGGAAATACTTTTTGTTTATATAATTTCCCCCTATAAGATTACATTTCTAATGGAACAAACGATGGATCCAGTGATGTCTGAGTTTATGAGCGGGGGTAATAAAAACTGAAACAACTGGAGGAAATGATTTTATTGTTCCTAAATATCCAGGTAAATACTTGAAAAGCATTTGCCTTCTGATCACAAGTATGGGGAAGGTAGAGGAAGAGGAACTAGGGGACAAGTAGCTTTGAGAAGAAAAAGGAGAAAAGCACAAAGTTATTAAAGGGTTATGAACAACACAGAAGAAGAGAACCAGGATTTGACATTGTCTAAGAAGTCACTTAGTTTTTAGATAGTGCTGGAAGCCTGTGGAGAGGTCTAGGTGGATAAGGATTCAAATAAGACTTTTGAATCTCTTATACTCTAATATACACTACAAAGTTAGGAAAAATGGGGGAAATAAAATAACATTTAAGTTAATTAATACTTCTAAAAATATGACTTTTGTTTAAAACAATTTTAAGGTAAATGCTTCCTTAAATGAGCAAGAAAATAAAATCAGCAAGAAGAGAAATCTTTAGTAATTATTTTCAAAATGAGAAATAAAAGGAAAACAAAAATGTTAAATTACAGTAATACAGCTTAACAGTTTAATTCATTCCCCTAACACAGTCTTACAGGCAAAGATATCCCTTAATAATTCAAGATTAGCTGTAATTTGTGTTTAAAAAATACCAAACTATAACAAAATTTCATACGTCATCTTTCACCTAACCCCCAAATTTTCAACCTTTACTCCCCGCGTCAACTTTTTATATTTATACCTCAATTTTAAGAGCTTTTCCAAACTGGAAAAAAAACTTCATCATTCAGTGCTCATTGTTTTAATAAGCAAAGATCTAAAATTTATTCATCTCTATAATCATAATATATTCCTGTATAAAACACAGCATTACTTTTCCCAAGGGAAGTTTACTTTTTTAAGTAGACTCCATGCCCAGTGTGGAGCCCAACATGGGGCCCAAACTCACAACCCTGGGATCAAGACCTGAGCTGAGATCAAGAGTCAGACGCTCAACCAACTAAGCCACCCAGGTACCCCTGGAAGTTAAGTTTTTATAGCTTGAAATATTTTTTCTCCATCAGAATTCAAAGTAATGAAGGGGGAAGGGTTTACCTTCTTTTGCAGGCTTTTCTAATTTGCACCAGGGCACCAGGTAAGTAATCTCTATCTCTTGTTTATCTATAAGACCCAGATTTGGAGTGAGAGATTGTTGCCATTCCTTATCCTTGGCCACAGCTTTCCGAACTTCAGTTCGATGGGCAAAATTATCTAGGGGATGAAAAGGAGTAAGAAAAATAAAAACTTAATTAAAATCACCTCTATCTCTTTTGGATTTCATTCAATTCAGCAAATGTTCATGCGGGCCACTTAAGGACACCGTTCTATCCCTGGAGCTATCAACATAAATAGATGTGACATCTGTCCTCAAGTTTCTCATGGTCTAAAAGGGGAGTAGAAATTTAAACAACTAATGATAATGTTGTGTAGTGGGGTTTATTGGTTCTACCACTGTAGGTATTTGTGTGACTTAGGTTAAGTTACTGAATCTTTCTGTTCCTGTTTCTTACTCTGTGAAAGGGGGATAATGACATAGTATCTCCCTCCAGGGTTGTTGTGAAGAATACATAAATTAGTACATGAGAGGGGCTCTGAGCAGTATTTGGCACCTAGACAGCACTCAACATATATTAATTATTCTTATTATTTGAGGCATTTAAATGATAGTGCCCATTTAAAGAAAGACTATTTTTTCCTTGGTGGTGATGGTGAGTGGTCAGGTCAATGTATACTCTGAATTAAATTTAACACAAATGAAGGGAAGATGTGCTTTTTAAGCCTCCTCTTTGAACAGCTTCCAAAGAAAGAGTGCTGATTCTCTTTCTTATCATCACCATTCTTTTTACCCAGTATTTATTTCTCTTATGTTTGTTATTTACACATTTACTAAACATTTAGGCCTAGTACTGCACTAGGGTCTCATTAAAATTAATGGTAAAGGCGTTTTCTATGGTTTATATTGGGGATCTTAGAGCTTAAGTGAGTTATATCAGGATTTTTCTAATGATTTTTTTTTTTTTAACAGGACCTGAGTTCACCGGTGGCACATTAAAGCATAAATTGTGTTTCAATGGGTTTATTCTATAACAATACGGGAAACCCCTAAACTAGGGCCATGATAACTATGGAATGACACTTTTCATAGTAAAGTATTTAATGACTATTAAGTTTTGGACACTGATGATCAAACACTAAATGAAAGTATTGAAATTCTCTGGATTTCATTAAGTTCTGACGTGGACTTCACAAAAATTAGACACTCGAGTAACAAACATCGTGGGGATTTGAGCAACCTGTTCTTCTTTGACTATTAAACCAGGGGTAAATCAACTTCAATATGGGGAGAACTCTGATTGGCTTTACTTCCCTGTAACAGCACAATGACAGAGAATTTCCTGAAACCCTGGAATGCACAAATGACACCGATATGGTTTTCTCAATATAACAACTTATTAAATCTCAGTGGTGGGTGAGGCCTAGAAGTTAATTATCATCCCCATCAACCTCTACTACTCCAAAGCCCCTACATATCTGAATTGTTGCTACCAAAATCCAGATATCCAGCCATAGCTTCAACAATAAGAAAAAATAACTCTATCTTCCTTTATGATCTTAATTTACTTGAGCTCTTACAATCACTGCTTTAATTTTTTTTCATAAATCATCTTTATGACAAACCACTGTATAATTTTTCTGAGAATTAAAGTCTATCTCAGAAATTTATGATTTGAAATATGAGATGCCACACTTTCCCATTTATGGTAACATAAGAATTTGGGCAAAGGATTGTTAAAGGGGTACCACCGGGAGAAGGAGTCAGAATTCATTTTTTGCTGCTGTTCCCCTTTTTAAAAGTTTATTTTAACCCGTGGGCATTTATACTAATTTAAATTCAAGAGCTAAGCGTTAAGTAACATTTAACAGAATGAAAATCGATACTGAACCCCACAGCTGGAAAAAATCATACCATACTTCCAAATATGAAACACTTTATTCACTTGGCCTCCAAATTCTACACTCCAGAAGCCAACCAATTCAGAGTGAGCTGTCCGAAGATGTATGTTTTTCTTAGTATTTTCCAGAAACTCATTCATCTTTGAGGGCTTAAGGCAATAAGTACGAAATTCATAGAATGTTCCATCATATTGTCTTGGGCCCGTAGCAAAAGATGAGCACACCTGAAGACAGATACAGCAAATTTAAATATTTTGGAAAGGTAGAGTTTATAATATTATTACAACCATATCTGAATCTAGAAACAAAGGGCATGCATTAGACTCATAATCCACGTTTGTACTTCTTTTGTGATCTCTCCTTAGACATTTGTTTAGAGAAATGTCAATAAAAATAACTAACCTTAAGTATGCTGAACATATAGTTACTGTTTCTTAGTGGCGATCCACTGTCAGCCACTTTTTCATGAAATTTAATCATGAGAAGGCACAGAGGTCTTAATAAAAGTCCTTTACTCAAGAACTACAACTAGGATTCTAATAAACTTGCAGATTATTTATTTAGCCAATATTTAGCCAATATTCCATTTTTAGTCAATACTATACATGTCACAATTACACATTTAAGTGAACTTTATAAAATATGCAGGTGTTTTGGCAAGTAAAATGGAAATGTGTTTACTATCAAAAAATTCCCTTTTAGGTTTTTCTTAAAAATAAAAATTGCTATTCAGGTCAAAGTATTTCCCAAATCCAACGAAGCAGATCACTGGTAAAAGATAGGAATGGACTGTTACTATCTATTCAACTGCATTTTAACATACTGGTCGACTGTATGAATGCTGTAAAGGAAAAATCAATGAATTAGAATTGTCTGAATCATTATTAGGTTTAATTACAGATGCAATGTGAAGAAGGGCATTTAACCCATCCAATTTTATCAGATTGATGAAAATATCCCTGAAGAACCTTAGTTCTTGTTGTATTAATTGTAGGCTACCCATATAAAGTTTTCTTCTAATCTAGGCCTCCAAATCTGAATAAACTTTAGATAGGAAATGCCTCACTAGAGTGGCACCTGGGTGGCTCAGTGGGTTAAAGCCTCTGCCTTCAGCTCCAGTTGTGATCCCAGGGTCCTGGGATTGAGCCCCGCATCATCGGGCTCTCTGCTCAGCAGGGAGCCTGCTTCCTCCTCTCTCTGTCTGCCTCTCTGCCTACTTGCGATCTCTGTCAAATAAATAAATAAAATCTTAAAAAAAAAAAAAAAAAGGAAATGCTTCACTAGAGATTATCCTGTGTATAAATACATGTGCATGTGTATATACTCACACCCACACAGTCCTATGGCATTTTCATTTGTAAATTCTTTACTGTAGGTTTGGTTATCATGAACCAGTTTCACGAAGTTTTGTTTTGTTTTGTTTCATGAAGCTTATTAATCAAAAGCTTTGGTACAAAGCTATGGACAAATTTTGGGCTTATGTGACTACCTGGTACATCAAATGAAACCAGTAGGCTTCTTTATCTGACATAATTTAGGTTAAAACACACAGTTGTCTATGTATTTATGAATAATTTTGTAATTATAATTATATAATTGAGTTTATTCCATTCATGTCTCCTGAGTTAGGTTCCTACTGCCCAAGTGTCTAAGCTTACTTGGAAAGCAAGTATTCCCTCCAAAAACTACTGCAGATACTTCTGTTTTTGCTGGACATGCTTTTTGTGTCATTTTAACCACTTTTTAATATGAGAATGTTATCCAAATAAACAACTGCCCAATATTATAGTTCAAAAAGTATTATAAATAAAATATAACGGAACAGTGTGGTATTTATAACAATTGCTTTTAAGTCATTTTTTCAGGGTGTTTGTATTTGGAAACAAATATGAGGTCAAAGGCATGTATTTTTATTTTCCAAAGAAGAAACAGTAAGAGGGAAAAGCCCACGGAATGGGAAAACAACAGTAAGTGAGATAAGTGAATGTGCTTAAGGGGAGGTGACTTTTGTTAAGGGCAGAAACTACAAGGATTCTGGGGTAGGATTCATTAGTGTTCTAGGCTCCCTTATCTCCAAATAAGGGCTGATTTTCCATAGCACTGACTTCCAATTCATTTATGAGACCCACTGGCTGGCATGTAATAATCAAAGTTCAGAATAAAGTTGTCGGGAATAACTCTTGGCCCTGCCCCTGTAGAGTGAGAATCAGGAAACATTAAAGACTGGATTGCTAATCTTGGGTGAACAGGCCATCGTTGGTTCCTCAGTCTTCAGCAGAAAATCTGTCTCTAGAGTAGGTTCATCCCCTTCCGCTTGTCCCCTTCGAGAAAAGTACAAGCCTAAATATCAGAGGGGAAAAAACCTGTAGATGCACAGAATAGGCCAAGCCCCGACAGATAAGGCTGAAACACAAAAATCTATTATGTACGTTTTTCATCGGAGGTTAAATGAGGTTGTCATAGTCATGTTTGCTACTTGGTTCCTGGCTTGGACACCCCCCCCCCCCCCCAAGAGGCAGTGGGCAGGACGTTCCACCACCGGCACCCTGGCCCATCTCTTCAAGGTTCTCTGCAAAATGCTCGGAAGTTATGCACGTTTCGTTTAAACACAGGGAGGCCGGGGTTTTTTGTTTTTTGTTTTTTTTGCCAGGAGCTGGTTGACCTATTTCTCCTCTACCTTAGGTCTAGAGGCGGCGGTGGCTTGTCAAACAACAAAATCAATAGGAAAGGATAGACCAGCAGGCACCGGGCAGGGCCCCAACGTGCCGAAAGCTGAGCGGCTGGGAAGCAAATACGGAGCACCAGAGCTTCAGTAGTGTCCTCAGGGCCGCCTGGCACCTAGGTCACAGACGTCCTGTTCACGGGTCCTTGAGAGCTGGCCGGAAGGCGACACTGGCCAGCGTACTCTCCGCGACTGGCGACACCCTTCCACCCGCGTATCCTAGAATGCCCCAGCTCCGGGATAGGGGACCCTCTCTGGAATTAGAACGATCTGCGCACGCGAACAGACTGGGCGCATGCGCGGCACTCGCACGTCTGGGCGAGCGAACCCAGTAGCGCATGCGCGGCAGCACTGGCTCCTGGCAGACATCCCTCCTTTCCCCCCACCCCCCCAACCAGGGCACTGTTGGTGCTCGTCTGGGCGGCGGGTACCTGAGGCGCGAGCTTCCGCGCAGCCAGAGCCCTAGTCAGGACGCTTCGGAGGACAAGCATGGCGGAGCTTCGGGCGCTGGGAAGGACAGCCATCTGGTACTCTTTCTTAGATTCCTCCTGTTAGGACTTAACCTCCTGGAAAAGAGCAGCGACTAGACTATTGGCGGACGCAGGCGGGGGCGGGACTCGGCGGCTTCAGCTCCGCCTCTGGTGGCGGAGGCGCGGGCACCGCCCGGAAGGCTAGCTTGCTCGGTGGCCCAGTGCCCGGTGCGTTCGGGCGGCCAGTATCGTGGTCCTGGCCTTGTTCCCTCTGACACTCTTACCCCAACGTCAGAGGGAACATTTCTGAGCTCATCACCTCATCTCCACGCGCAGCTGAGCAACAGTTCTTAAGAGTTCGTTTGCAGACTGCGAGTGCTTGCGTTTGAGGAGGGCGTATGATGCATGCGCGCATAATGCTGTGCATTTAAAATCGTGGAGGTCTTTGCCGTGGTTCATCTTTAGTCGAGGTGATTTACGTAAAGACCAGGGAGGCTTAATTTTCCCTCATGAAGTGCATTCTCTTTCCCCGATCGCCACCCAGCATGACCTCATAAGGCTTCTAATGTATCTCCCAGGAGCTCACTGCAGTGGATGTATCGAACTTAGTATTAAAAAGTCAAATAGTTTTGTAAGCCTTGAAACATACCAGCAGACCTCTGATCTTGTTCTCCTTATCCCTGATTATTGGTCCCCAGAATAACTATTTTCAACATTTAACACTTGTTTCTTCTGATGCTTTCTTCTCGTTCTCTAAATTACAGGCTTTTTCTGGTGTGTCTTGGTATTTTCAATTTTAGATAGTGTCTGTTGCTTGGAAAATGAGGATTTAGGTTTCTTACATACCACTCCCTCAAAATAACCTCCTCTTCCTCATCTGATAATGGGTACATTACAGATTAATTGTCACATTAATTTATAGTATTTAATGTTTACATATTTATTACTAATTACATATAACATAATTACACAGTGCATAATCAGACTTACACAATAGTTACATTATTGTATACATTGAAATAATACAGCTTATACTATCAAGAATAGGGAATTATTACAGTGATATCACTTGTGGTTGTATTGGTTGTGCCTTCTTCAAAGACTTGAATTATCTGTTCAGAGGGATGCTTTTTAAAATTATAATTCCAGAGGGAGTGAGTAAGATTTTCTGGGTGATAGTCATCGTTTTTAACCAAGTGAGACAAAACAAAGTATAATCTGTGCCTGGGCTGGATCTTACTTTATGTTTAAATTTATTTTCTTGGACTTTGCCCCCTCCCTTGAATTAACAATTTATTCACTCATTTGGCCCCTAATTATTAAATTTCCTTCTATGCCTCAGGTACTTTTCCAGAAGCTGGAGTACGGAGGTGAGCAAAAGGCATAATCCTTGTTTTTGGAATTTACAGGTTGAGGGAAATATTAACAGTAAAGAGAAAAATATATCAGGGATTAATAAATACTCTGAGAGAAAACAATGTAGGATATGAACAGTGGAAAGTTCCACTGGAAGGGGATAGCAGAGACTATTAGCTATTTCCCATTATCCATTCTCCCTGCTGCCCTCTTTTTTAAAAAATTAGTAATAGAATGCTTGTAGCTAGATGCAGCTGTGTGACTAAGCTCTGGCCAGTGTAATGTGTTGGAGCATTTATAATGTACTCTAAGTGATCTTAAAGCAGTGTAGGAGGGGCAGTTCTCTTTTTCGTTTCTTCCTTATTTCTGCATGCTGGAATATGGGTGTAAAGGCTTGAATTCTTGGGTTATGAGGTAGAGGCCACATGCTGGAGATGGGACAACAGGAGAGAAGCAGCCTAGGTTCTGACACCATGGAATACCATGCTGAGAGTCTTGGACTGCCCATCTCTGGAGTTCTTTTTTTTTTTTTTTTTTAAAGATTTTATTTATTTATTTGACAGACGGAGATCACAAGTAGACAGAGAGGCAGGCAGAGAGAGAGAGGGAAGCAAGCTCCCTGCTGAGCAGAGAGCCCGATGCGGGACTCGATCCCAGGACCCTGAGATCATGACCTGAGCCGAAGGCAGCGGCTTAACCCACTGAGCCACCCAGGCGCCCCTCTGGAGTTCTTTTACATGAGAAATCCTCTTCTAGTTTAAGCTACTGTTAAATGGGTTGCACGTGTAATTTTTTTAAATTAACATATAATATATTATTTGTTTCAGGGGTACAGGTCTGTGATTCATCAGTCTTATACAATTCACAGTGCTCACCATATCACATACCCTCCCCAATGTCCATCACCCAGCCACCCCATCCTTCCTACCCCACTCCCCTCCAGCAACCCTCAATTTGTTTCCTAAGAGTCTTTTACAGTTTGTCTCCCTCTCTGGTTTCATCTTGTTTCATTTTTCCCTCCCTTCCCTTATGATCCTCTGTCTTGTTTCTCAAATTCCTCATATCAGTGAGATAATATGATAACCTGTAATAATCTTTTTTTTTTAAAGATTTTATTTATTTATTTGACAGGCAGATATCACAAGTAGGCAGAGAGGCAGGCAGAGAGGAAGGGAAGCAGCCTCCCCGCTGAGCAGAGAGCCCGATGTGGGGCTCGATCCCAGAACCCTGAGATCATGACCTGAGCGGAAGGCAGAGGATTTAACTCACTGAGCCACCCAGGCGCCCCGATAACCTGTAATCCTAATAGGAGTGTGACTCCTTTTTTTCCTCCATCTTTGCTTTCTATTGTTTTCCTTATATCTGTCATTTATTAGTCACCAAACCCTTTGCCAAAATATACCTCTCAATGTGCTACAGAGCCCTCTTCCTCAACTGTAGACCCCAGCATTTAAAAACAGAAGTAGACAGGACTGCCTATCTCATACTGTTAACTAAAACCCACTGTGCTTATTTCTTACCACACTTTCTTGAAGCGTGATGAAGTTTTTGTGCAAGGACTGGGAGCATCCCAAACGCCACACAAGTAAAGCTCTTATAGCAATGTAATGCCTAGAAGACCACACCCACGGATCCTCTTTCTGCCCCTGGTCAGGGGCTGAACCATACCAACCCTACCCCATGATCACAAGCTGTCTGCCTGCTCTCTTGCATGTACCATCCTCTCCTTAGGAAATTGTTAAGTGTCCATCTTGGAGGCAGAGAGGTTGGTTGTTAAGTCTTGAGCTTCGCACCTCCCCTGGCTGTCAGTATCCAAAATAACTTTCTCCCTTCTCTTTTCCAAACCCTTATCTCTTGAGTTATTGGCTTTTCAGATAAATTCAAAAGTTGAGTTTATCTGACTGTTCTGCCACAGTGTTGGCAAACCCCACAGCGTTGGCAAACCCAGCCAGTTCAATTTGTCCGGTCCCCTCCACAATCGCTGGGATGGAATTGTTGTACCCGAGTTTTTGCGTCTGAGAGACCACCAAGGAGCCAACACTGATGCAATCACACGAGGGTTTATTTAACAAGCTTAAGCTTGGGCCCAAGTACACCCGACACAGCAGAGTAGTGACTTGGACCCCGAGCTTAGTTAAGGCAGGGGTCCTGTTACTAAAGGGTTTATGGGTTCCTGTTACTAAAGCAGGGTGGGGGTTTCTGGAACCAAAGCAGGGTGGGGCTTCCTGTTACTAAAGCAGGGTGGGGGTCTCTGGAGCCAAAGCAGGGTGGGGGTTCTTGTTACTAAAGCAGTGTGGGGGTCCTTAGAACTAAAGTAAAGTAGGGGAAAGTTCAGCCCTTGGGCACAGGGGTCTCAGATGGCTGTACTTGTGCTAAGGCTAAACCTGAGGTGGGATGTCCTTAATTTTTCTCGGCCTCCACAGAATAATGGCCATAGCAGTGCACCAGGGCTTACCCATTTGTTTACTGAGTTAGCAGCTGTGATGGATCTTTCGGTAACAAATATGATTAAACCTGTTAATCAGCTTTTTAGTTTCTTCTTTTAGAGTTATCTTTGGAGAGTTCTTTGTTCTTTTGCTTCAGTGAGGACTAGTTCTTTAAGATGGCGTGGTAGTAATTCCAGGATCCCCTTTGCTTTGTGGACTTACTGTTGTCTGGATTTTGTTTCTTTTTCTTTTAACTTATAATTTTAGGGCAGGGTACATGGAAATTAAACCTTTGGGATTTGTATCTATAAAACGTGTTTTATTCTACCAGCCCTCTTGATTTATATTTTGGGTGGGTACAAAATTCTGCATTGGAAATAACTTTTCCTTATATTTTGAAGGCAGAGCTCCATTGTCTTATACCTTCTAGTAAGAAATTCATGCCATTTTGATTCCTAATTCTTTGTCGTGACTTGCTTGTTTCTGTCAGTCTCTTTGGAACCTTTTATGTTTTTCTCTATGTTCCTAGTGTTCTGAAATTTCACGGTAATGTGCCATGGAGTAGATGTTTTTTGCATATGGTGTTCCTCATTCAGGGTAACCTCATAATGGGGGTACTCTTCAAACCTGAAAATTTTTTGTTTCTTGGATTTTTACATTCTTCATCTTTGGAACTTTTGTTATTCAAACATTGTACCTCCACTTGATCTTCTAATTTTATTCTTTCTACTACTTTATATTTCTACTTTTTTGGTTTATGGTTTTGGGGATAAAGTACCACAATTTTATCTTTTCACTTATTTTAAACTTAAACTTTTACAGTATTTATTTCCAAAAAGCTCCTTTTTTTAATGCCTTCCCCAGATTATTTATTTCTCTCTCTCCCTTTTTAATCAGAATTAATATCCTCTTTTTGTTTCATGGGTTCATAATTTGTCTCAGAGGACATTAATTACAGATGTTTATTTTTTAGTTATTGTTGTGGGTCTTCTTCCTGAGTTCAAGTTTTATTATTACTTTTTTTGTCATTTGATTTGTTTTTAGCCATGATACTAGTATGCTAGTGTTTTTCCTAAAATAGTTTTGTATCTGTAATCCTTGGTAATAAACTCATATTTTGCAGTGAGACAAAAATTTTTTGAAAGCTTTTTGAGTATGGGTGTGACCTGTCAAATGGTGGGCTTCACTCTAGGGTTTTTGTAGGTTATCTGTTTATTTCATTGAGGAGGAAAACTCCCATTTGTTTTCACCCATAAGTCATTTTTTTAAAGTTTAGTCAGTTACCCCAAG